AAGGGTGAAACTTCATCACCAGCCCACACCTCTATCTGTTCCACAGTGTCTACGCCAGACAAGTCACATCTGGAACAAAACCACTTTGTTCCATTTAATATCCTGAGCTTTCTCCTATACAAGACATAGGTTTGCCCCACACACACATCATGTGCGTTGCACAGGCTCACACCAGTTGGAAAGAATGCATTTAGGACAGCAATGAGTATCAGCAGGTAGACAACAACCACCACTTAACTGCTATGACTTACATTTTAGATAAAACAAAATCCAGGAACAATTCTTAATTCCCAGCTAGATAATAGAGAAAAACAGCAATTCTGGCTCTGAACTGCTTTTAACTGACTTGGATCTCATGAAGGCAAGTGAAAAACTCCCATTGGAGCTTTTGACCCTCAGACAGGCTAATTCCAGTTGATTGTTCCCATTTTATTTAGTTATGCAATCAAGCACCACACCCTACACTTAAGCTTTCATAAATATCCCTTTATCCCAAAAAAACCCAGGTGAGAGTTTTAGTTTTGTGATCCTTATTCTTTCATAAAAAAAAAAATAAGCAGAAATTAAGGAGTATTTCTTCCTTGTAAATACCAGTATAGCTTATTGCAATTAAACCCAAGGAAAAGGTGGGGGAGTCCAGATGGAAGAAAAGGGTTAAGTCACTCCAACACAAGTTCCTCTCAGTCACTTGGGAAATGAACTCAAATACTCAAAGAACCCAAGAGTCAAGCTCTTCTCCTGGCAGGCTGGCCAGGTTCACATGCATCTTTCATGGGAGGGAGAAATCAATGGCAGCTTAACGATGTATCCTTTGAAAGCCTGCATTTCCCCTCACCACTACAGCCTCTTAACACAATTCTGCTGGAGGGATAAGAGTGGCTGGAAACAGCCCAGTGAAGCATTTAGTCAGAAGACACATACATAGAGAGACAGAGAACTTTCTTAAACACTACCTTTGTGAGCCCAAAATGCTTTTTTTTAAACAGTTCTGAATTACTTTTGGGAGAAGTCTGAGGCTTGAAGCCCACAACAGCTGCCCCGACAGACAAGAACACCAGACTTCCCCAGCAGCTGTAGGGCCTGGGGAGCTTCTGGATTCCTGGAAATACTGACAAGTTTTCGATTTTGTCCCGTTTTGATCACAGCCAAATTTCAAAATTCCTGAAAACTGGAAGGCCTTGCTTTTAGCTAACTCAGGTCTGAATTTCTAGAAGCATAACAAGGGTTGCAACATAACCATTTCCTGTCAAGTTCAAATATTGAAACAGTACAAATTAGTCCTTCTGAGGACTAATTGTGAGATTACCTTAAAATCATGACACTTAAATTAACAGATGTTCTTTCTCCTTACCTTCTGGCTTGCAGATCTCTGATATGTCAGTGATATTTCTTGCAGTAGCGATGTAAAAACTTTTAACCTTCTTTTATAAAAACACAGTAAAACTGAAATTCCTGTCCAGTAATCTTCTGCTACTGCTGTTACAAAGCTTATGGACAAAAATAGATGAATTACCGTGCTACTTGCTTCTAAATCTGACTTTTTAGAGCTACAGCTCTATTGCCAGTAGCATAAAGGATAAACCTTAAGATGCAGACACTATGGAGCAGCTGGTGAGAAGGAACACAGCTGCAAGGAACAGAACTGCAGAAGGAAGTGGAGCTCAATAAGGGATCTCAGCAGAGGTAGGGAGAAGCTAGGGAAGTATAGACTTGGTTCCTCCCCAGAAAGAAGGTGGTCAAAACAAGAAAGGACAAAGGAATTGTAGACAGACCTGGACTTTTCAAAGTTTTTACCTTCCCCAACAGGACAAAACCCCACCAGAGGAAGACAGATTCTGAAAGCCTATCTGCAAATAGCTAGTGCAACAACCAGCACCCTTCGTATGTTTCCCCAGAGTTCTGCAGAAATTACTGCTTCCAGAAAACTGTTGTTTCTTCTGCAAATTTATGTGTAACAGGAGCCCACAACTATGGGGACTGCCAGTCATTTCATGTTGTCAAGACTTCCCAAGTACTGTACTGTAAGGGAGTTCTTGGTGTTCCAGGGATTTGCCATTGACCCAGACACACTCTAAAACATTGCTGTGGGACATGCATGTCAAAGCTGCTGCAGTGGTGTCACAAGGCTGCCTGGTTCCACCACCAGCTTTGGCAGGTCCAGGCAGTAGGTTTGCTGACTTGTCTCTGTAGTGATTTTTCTGTCCACATCTTTAGGTGAGAAGATCCAGTGAAAAGCTAGTGCAGCAACAGCCCTATAAAGCAGCAAGGTTGTAACTGCAAACATCCGTGCTCTCTGTAGACTTGGCTTAATTATAGCAATGGAACAGACTTCCTCCCCTGTGGATCAATCTGTGGTCTCTGCACTTGAAAGACCATTCAGGATGTCATGTTCCATGTGACACGTAGACACAGTTAGAGACTGATAAGGCATCATTTTCATTAAGAGTACCTCCCTCTAGCCTTTTCCTGCCTGGCTCTAAATTCTATATTTGACCATATGTATTACCACAAACTGTCTTCTCCACAGCACCATTGTCTCCTCCTCACATTCTGTTTACTGACAAGGGTCACCTTGATTATTTATAAAGTGGAAGCCCAAACACTTTCCTGCCTGTGCACTGAAAACGCCAAGCCAGGCTTCCTAACCTGACTCTTGGAAACTCAACTCAGAAGCCCTAAGACAACTGAGTAAGGCAGACATACACTCCCACCTAGTGGGGAATGCACAGCTCTGGGTCTCTGGGACAGGAGCTGCTTCAGCTCTGCAGTCACACACACACACACCTAACACCAAGAGGAGCTTGTCTTTTTGAGTCAATGGGGTAATAGCAGCTATGATGAAATCTGCGAGCATTACTTCTAATCATTAAGCAGAAGGAAAAGGCAGGTTTAGACTACTAAGTTACCAGTATTCTATCTGCTAGTATTAGACATGACTGCAAACACAACTGTTTTGCTTTATACTAGTGTAATGATTAACTTCTGCAAGGTCAATGCTACAGGCATGTAGAATACTAGTAGAATGGCACAGCAGCATTTTAAACCTATTTTGCCACACCAGAGAGAACTAAATTGTTGAATGCAAAACAAAGACAAGTAAGTCTTCAGTAAAGCGACCTAGAAGAGTGGACCAGCTCACAAGTTGAGTCACTGTCAGTATTTTCTGGAGACAGTCTGGGGCTTTACTACTTCGGGGGTTTTTAATATATGCTGTAGATAAAGGTGAAATAAAAAATTGTGAAGTGGAAAGTAGAAGCTGGAGGGAAAAAGCATCTTCCATGTATTTCCATTTCTGCATGCTCACTAAAGACACCCAGAGGCCCCTCCTGTTTCACATCAGGATGAAGTCACCATTCCCCCCAGCTTGCTGGGGCTGGGATGGCATCATCCCCACGGCCTGCTGTGGAGGAGCAGCGGAAAGGCTGCAAGAGCTTGGTTTGGCTGGCCTTGAATTACTTTAACCTGTTCAAGTACAGAATGAGATACACATTAGCCTTCAAATGTCTTTTTGCATGTTGGCAAAAAAATCACAAACGTGCACTTGCATTTTGCAGAAGTGTACCGCCCTTTCAGACCCGCCTGCACCTGTTTCTGAAAGGAACTTCAGCCACCAAAATCTGTAATCTACAAACCAAAGTCTCTGTGTGCAGCAGCTCTGCCACCCCCAAGTATTGCTTACGGGATCATCCTGATGCACCCTGTTCTTCCAACTCAACACACAATCACTTCCCAGGATTTGGGTTAGGTAGTGCCTTTGTTGCCCTCCTGAAAATTATTCCAAGTTCTTATTTTAACATTCTGTGGCTTACACACAAATTAACTGTGTCTACAAACGTGGTATCTTCAGCAGCAACACGGGTAAGCAAGCACTGACAAAAGCTAGGCCCAAGGGATGCCAGGATGCAATTCTGCAACTCTTCTATTTGGCCCAGGTCAAAGACCAATCCAGCAGTCACGCCAGTTTGTATACAGCTTTGGACTTCCTACATTCAGACTTGGGCAGAACATAAGGCAGCAGAACAGGGTCACCAGCTGACTGAAAGGAAGAGATGAGCAGAGCTGCTTCTTAACGTAGTGCACAGCAGAAACTGAGCCTTACCAGCATGTGTTGGGGGTCACACTACTGGCTTTAAAGCCTCACCATCTGGAGCTAACTCAGGCTTCCTCCATATCTTAAGCAGTCCTTTCCAGAGCACCAGCCTATAAGCATACTTACCTCTCTGTTCTTCTGGAGCATGCAGTACCAAGAAGATACCTGGCATACACTTTATGGCACTCAACAAAGCCCTGCCTCAGCATTCACTCATTATGAGGAGGAGCACTCCACTAGTTTGTTTTTTTTATCTCTACTATGTGGTATTTCACCATTTTGTAGACTTGAATAAGGAACAGAAAAAGACCTCTACTGTTTCCTTCACCTGCAAGAAGACACCATGGTAAATACAATGTGCCAACCATTTCTTACATTTTCCAAGACCACCTGAGCATGCTCCAACACCCGATGCTACTTCATTCCTGCTTCAAGCATTAAGTTTAATTGGTTATTACTTCTTCAGGACCATAGTTGTAGGGAGACAACTCATACTTGATATACGTAATTGGTCTCAGTTAAAGGATGTTCTATGATATACTATAACAGTTAGTATGAACTGAGTATCCCATGCTGTCATTCAGGTCCTATGTGAACCATTTTGCTTGACCCAGTACTGTGATCCCTTGCCCAAAGCAACACTTCAAAAGCTCATGCATCAGTGCAGTACATGAAGAGCTCACATCAGAGATGCAGGAAATGGTAGGGATGACTGAAGACAGTCAATTCCGGCAGGCACAATAACACCTATTTCTCCTTTCTTCTACCTGTTCAACCTATAAAAAAGCTCCACAGCCTGTAATACAACCATGTACAAAAGGTATTTTTTCTCTTCCCATTATTTTTACATCAAGTAACTGGACCAGCTATTACTAAAAAAAAAAAAAAAAGAGTCTCTTCCAGACAGTTATAGAAGATTCTTCTTTTATTTGTTTATAGCAACATCAGCACATATTTCCACTTAGGTATTTTACTGCAACAAGGAAATCCATTACCTCATTAAGCTTCAGCAAGGTGACCTATGTTTTATACGCAATGGAAAAGATTAAAGTGTCTCCCTTTGTTGCACAACAGTTTAAAGCTTCAAACTCTAAGTAAATACCTCACTGAATTAAACAAGCAGACGCTTTGCTTGATTATGAAATGCTTTTGTTGGATGAGTGAAGTGTTTTCTGAGTAGAGCAATTAATTTGTAAGCCACAGGCACTACTACAAGAGTGGTATCAGAGTAGAAGTGGTGACATTTTAGTAGTCTGTGCAAGAATTCCACTCTACTTTTTGCAAGCTGCATATCTTGAAGATACATTCTCCCAGTTGATCACATTCCAGATGGCTTTCAAATAATCAGGTCGAACATTTTTATACTGAAGATAATAAGCATGTTCCCATACATCGATTCCTAGCAAAGGAATGAGACCTGTGAAAAAAGAGGATAAATTATGTATATCTATGAAAACACACTTTACATTTGAAGTTTTATGTTGCATCCCCAAGCTGTGCCCAATTACTGAGACTTAATCTGCAGGAAGACAGCTCTGCAGCTCATGGGTGCTTACTGCAACATTTCACAGAACTGTGTGTCACGTGCACATACTGCATAAAATGAAACAGCTGATTCAGGTAAACACATCTATAAATGCTCTAGAACTGCCTTGAAGACATAACTGAAACCAGATGAAGTAATTTTTGAAAGGTTTACATCTTTTGCACAGCACTTTCATGAAAAATTACACTATGATGATCTCTTGGCATGCCAGTTTGCTTCCAATATTTTAACTACAAATTATTCCTTAAATGTCTAATTACCTCCTCGCTTTTGTGCTAAAATATCCTTCTCAGTGAATTTTTAATGGGAAGTTTTCATGAGGGGAGGATAAAATTTACCCCCATTATGCTCTATGTCCCTATACTAAAATCTCTATTTTTTCCCCCCTATTGATAACACAGACTACTGACAACACATGAAATTCCTGGCCATTCTCTATGAATTCTACAGAACATGTTTTAAAGATATCTGCAAAAGGATCTGGAAAAGGATCTGGACAAGCAGTCACTGCAGGCAGGATTCTCACTAGCCATGATCTCTTCTCTCAGGGAAGGGTGTCCAGCCTGTCTTTACCACTTTCATGTCTCTCTAAGCAAGTAAAAATATCTTCAAAAGTGATCATTGCCAGTACTGTAATGCTTGCCTAGCTGCAAGATTTATCCACATCCTAGGATTATTTAACTGACACTCATTACTCTTTGCCAATATTGAGGAAGCAAATCATAAGGTTCCATTTTAAATCCAGCCTACATGATAACAACTTAGTATGTGCACCTTCCCCTCTCCTGTTGTTTGGCCTACACTGATGATTTTGTGAATAGCTCCTCTGTCAGGGAAAAAAAATCCGAAGGCAAGAGGCTTAATCTTGTTTGATACAGGCAAGTTACTCCAGTTACTCAAAAATAATCCAAAGAAGCCTAAATTAAAATTATTGTCTAAGCGGAAAACACTTTCACAATATGGCCCATCTATTTTGCCTTGGACTAGAGACTTTTAACCCTACTGCTCTTCACAGTTTTTAAGTCCTGCTTTATAAATGCTGTTTTAAAAACTGCAAGTTTTCACTTCTGCTGGTACAGACATTTTGTTTTCCAGATTATTTATCCAGCAATTTCTTCTCAGCATTGTCCACAAACCCCTTTTCAGATCTCATACCCTTGCCCATGAAATCTACAAAGACAGAAGCAGAGAGGAAGGACAGAAACCTGACCTGTTGTTCCTTGCAAAGGGTCTTGATTTGCACAAGCTGCTATTTGTAGGCGTCCCTGCTCTTTGTTATAGCCAAGCCATCCCCAGCCTGATCCTTGAACACCAACTGATAGGGCTGTCAGCTTCTCCTTGAAGTTTGCAAAGGAACCAAAGTCACGCTTGATGGCTTCCATCAATTCTCCTTTAAAAAAAAGCACAGAAAGATGAGAGGCATATAAACCTCATTCAAACCCTCTCAAGTTTATGTAACAGCTTTTTTGAGATCTGTATTATAGGGCCTTCACCTTTAATTGCATGTCACTTGCAGGTAATCAGCACTCTGTCCTCCCCAAGGGGACTTCTTCCTTTAGGCTTTATCTGCTAACCTATCCCTATTTGAACTGGAGCACAACTCCAGTCACTAGGCTGGGTGGGTCTGCAGGACATTTCTTCCCTTTCTGTGAACCGGAGTACCAACAGCAATTTAATTAGCATTGCTTTATACAAGTATTTTCTCTTATAAAGATGGAAAGGACAATACAGAACAGTAGCCAAGTATTTTGCAGTGTATACATAATCAGTTTTAGAAATTAAAAATACTTTGCACAAGGCTAGCTGTTTATACTCTTGGCTTCCATCCAAAAAAACACCCAAACTCCTCAGAAGTGTGTAACTGTCACACAGAAAGGTGAATTAACTCTGAAAAATAAAGATCCTTTAGACTCTTCCAAAGAAAAAAGAGATCATCATTTCCACTTGTTAATTAAAATTGATGCAACAAACCACTGTAACAAGCACCAACCTTTAGGCTCCCCTCCTCCATTTGGAGAAAGGTTTGTCCAGAAGATGGTGTGATTGATATGACCCCCACCGTTGAACTTCAGTGCAGGCTGAAGTGACACCTGAGTTGTAACATCACCTAAGGATGCAGAATGTAAAAATACATAGATAAATAAAACCATTATCATCACCACAGTAGGCTGTAAGTTGCCACAAGGCCTCCACTGATCTACAAAATCCTTCTACTAGCCTATAATGTATCTATGGAAAACATAACGTTTGTGACTGTTATCCCTACCTTAGACAGTCACAGATAAACTATAATAAAGATTTCTTTATCTTTTACCTTTTCTTATGCTGCAATGATAAGTGATCTGCCAATACTGCAACTATCAGGCAGCCCATACTACACACATAAGATCTACTGCCATTCTACAGCAACTAGTACAGCCAGAGAACTCTTTAAGCACCCAGCACTTGGAAATTGTTGAGTATCACCACAAGACATGAACATTACTCCCCCATCAGCTCACTGATCTGCAAACTAAGAATTTTTAAATTTCTTAAAACAATTTACAGGGCAAACAGTTTGTGCTTGAGAGAAAGTCAAGGAGTACACAAACAAAATGTTCTTCTCCCTCCTATATTTGGTTTCATTTTGAGGGTTTTTTGGAGGGGGGTACTTGCAGGAAGAGCGATCCAGATCATTTCACTCCAAACAGAACCCTGCATCTGAAATCAAGAGCAGACAACTCTGTACTTCCTCCACGAAATGCTATATTCCTTAAGGAATTCACTGGTGCCTCGTGCCTCAACTGTTGCACCACTTCAACACAAGTATTTTTGCTTTTAAAAGCAGTGAAGCATTTCAAAGGTTTTTAAAGTTTTTTCCACCAGACCAATACATTCTTTCAAAACGAATCGGGGGCAGCTGTTTCCTCCACACTCTCTCAGGAATGAGTGGTAGAAATCTTCCTATAGCAAAAAATGAGTGACCTCAACACAGACATGAAGGCAAGCCCCAATGCAGTAGCACATCTGTTACTAAGGTTTTAATTCAAGATTCCATGTTCTCAGCATGTCCTTGTACCCTTCACAAACTACAGACAGGTACAGGACTGAAACAAAGCATCCAATGTAGTTTGTAAAAACACTATTTGCTGCATTTAGATATCAAGGATAAGATATCTCTCATGCCCAGTCAAATGACATCTTCAGGACATTTTCCTTGAATTCTGCATGCCTTAATAACACTTTCAAGTTCATTCAGAGCACACAACATATCGCAAGCCAGAAATAAAAAAAATAACTTAGAATGTCTTTAATACATTCATCACTCTTTATTCCACCATTCCTTAGAAGAATTCACTCCACAAGACCACTGGGAACCATAGCTGGCATTTGACCATTGCCCTTAAAAAAAAATATTTGTGCTGCTGAACAGCACTGGGGGAAAAAAAAAAAGGTAACTTGCCCTTAAGTTACAAAGTTACAGTGAAAGTATATTGGAATTTATTGGTATACAGAGTCCATGGACAATTCAGAAAATCGAGACAGACAGCTCAGAAGTGCTTAGGACACTAGTCAGCTCAGCTTCTCAGTCAAAGACATTTGTTTCCTTGCAATGGTGCAGCATAGGTCACTTGATGGTCAGAGAGGAGCAGGGAAAACTGGCACTCAAACGTTTTCACTACGTTTCAGGTGAATATCCTTCAATTAGCAAATCTCACACATTTTGATGGACCAGTAATCAGAACCAGTTTATGCTGAAACAAAGTCCTGTGCTGCACCCTATCACAGAAGTGCATACTCATTTTCAAGTAAGTTGACAGCATAAGCCAAGAGGATAGCTTTTACTTGAGTTTTCTACACAGATATAGATAGGTGAAAAACATGTTAAAGATAATCTGAAGAGAATACTTCACTTCTGTTGCTGAACAAGAGCCATTGACAAGGTTCTGTTGTCCAGAAGAGATATTAAAATAGTGATCAGATTTGTTATGACACTGATAAAGAGCGCAGCAAGATTTTTTACCATCTCCGTTTCAAAAAACTGACAATACTGACAGAATGAGGTGACAGTTCAGACTTTGTCCTTTCCTAAATTCTGGTCTTAAAAATTTTTCTAATGACAGTCAAAACACAACACAAAGGATACCAATTAGGGGAAAAAAAAAACAAACCAAACCAAACCATATACTCTCAAGTATCTCAGTTAAGTGTTTGTCTGCTTTGATGCGCATGACCACCACCAATTAATAATCCATTTGCAAAATAATCCGCACAAAATCCTTAGGGAAAATTGATCTCTACCTTTAGGTATAACATTTCAACAGCAAGCAATGAGATGCTACCAAAAGCCAGGATTTTTAAAAAATACCTCAAAGGATCCACAGCACTGCCAATGTTTCTGATAACCAAAAATTCTGCCTCCGCTAATGGCTGAAGCCTCGGTCATTCAACAGTACCAGTAACCTCAGCAGCAGACACACTATCTTCTTAGAGTTCGGTTCCCTCCCCAGTTGTGTCTGCACTAATTACATCTCTGGAATACACCTTTCCTGGATCCACCACTGGCAGAGCAAGACAGCAATCAATCTTGATCTCGTGATTCTTAACTGAATCACATTACTTCATTAATTTAGACTGCATAAGTTATTTTTAGGCTTACTTCAGCACTTGAAAATCTCCATTCTCTATTCAAGCACACTGGCAATTATTTGTCAAGGGATGCGTGGTTCAACTTACACAGATATCGGCAACTCTCACTTTCAACTGAGCCCAAGCAGTTAAAATTACACTGTGAAGCCACCTGGCAAATAGCCAGAGGTGAGCCTATACAGTAATCACTTCTTTGAGGTAAAATGACACCCTTTAGGAAGATCAACACAAGAAGAAAAAAAAAACAAACCAGGAAAATATTCCACCTTCTTAAAAAGACAGACATGTAATTTCAGACATGTTTCTCCGTCCCACCGAAAGTAGTTTTGGAAAAAAAAAAATATCTTGTGTTGCAGTGTAGCTCTGCTACAACTGCAAAGTTTCCACAGAAGTCAGTGCATCTCAAAACTTCAGATTCCAACAAAAAAAATTCTGTGATGGCTTGCTGTTTATTTTAGTGTCTCACACAGACTCGCAGCCTACACGACCCCTTAATCTGACCCAGTGATGTAACTGATACCCAAATTCAGGTCTCTTCGCTGTGTGTTAGATATTAACTGCATGTTTGTCTTACCTCCATTTGTAGGCAAATGAGATTATTTACCAAGACTAAGCAGAGCACCTGATGTGAAAACCATCAAGGTGCACAAATTCCACTTTATATAACTTTGCTACTAACCTTTTATTACAAAGTACTCATTCAGTAAAATGACTGCAATTTCCTATTGTCTCAGACTTTGTTTGGTTCTAGTTACTAATGTAAATATGGACTAAACCCACAAGTATCAATAAATTTTCTTCTAGTTTTACAGTACTACAGAGAACAGAATCCACGCTTTTTAGTTACATTAAATTTCCAATTATCAGCACCACTGAAGCTTACAATGAGAGATTTTACCTAACAATACTACAAGTACATAATCCAAAACTTTTAAGAGAAAGTATTTCCCTTTTTTTCCTCTCCTGTATCATCTTTGCTGATAAGCTTCCATCTCACCTGTTGATTGTGGACATACAAACCTTTTGCCAGTGCCTCTTTGTATTTCTCCTCTGCAACGTTCAGGTTGTTCACGTAGGTAGCATGATGTTTGCTGTGGTGCAGCTGCATGATCTCTGCATTAATATGAGGTTCCAGAGCAGCATAATCATATGGCAAGTCAGGAAGAGTGTGCTTTTGCCTAGGAACCAAGCATCCCAATGGTGCTACCAACTTAGCACTGCTTCTAGAAGAGAAAAAAAAATCAGAAGGAAACAGTCTTATTCAGTAATACTGGGGCTTTACCAGTGAAATAGACTGAAACCATCACTGTTATAATCAGCTGCTTTAAGTACTGGGGTGATATCTTAGGTAAAGAAGCCAAATTTCCATTTTTCAAGAGTTCAAAGCAAGCATACTCTGTAGTTTAACTGCAAAGATGAATTCATAGAAAGGCCACATATATGGGGCTTTGCAATGTAAAGCAACTGCTTCTCAAACCAAGACCCCAGACCATTGCAGAGTCACGCACCCTCCCAAACATGCATGCCAGTGAAAAGCACGGACGGTAATGGAAAGACAGTAATAACACGCTGACATTCAAAGCTTTGCCTAATCTTTATTGATTAAAAATAGAAGCAAAGCTGCTGCTGAGGTGCCCTTCCCTCACTATTCACAAAGTCCCCGTACTGGGAAATAAAAAGGCTAAAAAACCTGTACAGTCACCGAGTTTCCAGGACTGAACCTCTACAGCATTAACACTGACAACATGCGCTTCCCTCTCTCCACAGTGGGTACCGGAAAAGCACACTGAACGTGATGCCGGGACAGCCGCGATGCCCGGCACAGAAAACCACGCAGGGGGTTCCCGATTTTAACACCTCGCACTTGTCATGCGACATGACAAGGGCCACGACGACAGGAGAACCGCCGGGCCGGCAGGACGGTGAGCTCCTGAGGCCCTTCGCCGTATCGCTGCTGACCTTGACATAACCCTGGGACATAACACAAGCAAAACCCTCGGGGCCCTGAAGAGCGGCCCTGGGGGGCGACTCCAGACAGCAAAGGCGACAGGGTCTGCAGCACTATGTCGGGCCACCACTGCCCCTGGATGGAGGGCGAAGACAAAACGTGGGAGGGCGCAAGGATGACCGCCAGCAGCCCCCGCCCCGGGCCGGCGGTGCCCGGGAGAGGCAGCCGGCAGCAGCGCGACTTCCCTCCGCGCGAAATGGCGGGGGGGGCCGAGGGGCGAGAAGACGACCCTCTCGCCCCCTCCTCCCCTGCTTCCCTCTTCCCCCCCACAGCTCGGCGGCGGAGGGGGAGGACGAGGGCGGCGCGGCCGCCGCCTCACGCCGCGGGGCTCTGACCGACCCCGCGCTGCCCCCGCGCGCGGCCCCGTTCTCACCTGCCCGCGGAGGCAAAGCGGCACAACATGGCGGCGCCTGGAGCCGGGCGGGACACGGACGGCGCAGCCGCGTCCCCGCCCGCCCCCGCGGCTGAGGGGGCCGAGCTCCGCCGGGCCGCAGGTGACCGGGCCCCGCAGTCACAATGTTTCTTCAGATGGAGAAAAACAGCATTTTTTAAACAACGAGCGTAGCGCGTCGCTATTAGCAGAATCGCTGTTTAGACTCCTTATCTTAAAACTCGGGCTCCCCGTAGCTCTAAGCGAGGCGAGGCTGCCCAGGAGCCCCTACGAAGCATGAGGAAGCACGCCGGGTACCTGTGCCCGTTGTAGGGCTGCTGGGCACCCGGCTCCTATCTCCTCTCCGAGCTGTGATAAGCTTTTGAAAACCTGCCTGGCTAAGACACGTTTTGTCAGTTTAGTGCCAGGACTAGCAGCACTAACAACTACCTTTTCAGCTATTTTGTCTACGACTTACTTTTATTGGTTCATTTCTTTTACCATTTTTGAGTGCATCTTGCTTTCCAACGCCTGCTTTCCTCATGGTAGCAATTCAGTGGCCTTAGGTGCTCATGAAAATCATTCAGGTTCCTTAACCCCATCAGCTAAAATAATCAGTATGGTTAGTGCAAACGAGTTGAGAGACCCATTAAAAACTGGTTCTCCAGAGAGGTCGGTGAGGAGAGCTCATTCCTCAGGAGGCACTCTGCAGACAAGACAAACATTAGGTAAAATTTAAATTGTGTGGAAGTCATCTCTCTTCCCACAAAACCTTCAATCTTTACATTTTGTCCTTTTAAATAAACATCTGTATTCTAAGATCTTACAGCACCCACATTTACCAGACTATAAAAAAACTCAAGTTACAAAATTTCAGTGGGGGGTAGGCCTGAACAATATTGTTGAAAATAAATAACCTCATCTTGCCGATTACCAGGAAATCCACCTGGAGAGACCCACACAGGGAATCTCAGCCTACTGGGAGGCACAGCGCAGTAGTGTATCCATCCCCCCACCTCTTGAGGCACTCTAGAAAACCACATTTAGTTTCTCTGATCAGCCAGTGATACTCTTGCAGAAATCTGAGAAGTGAAAATATCTCTCAGTAGCTAAGATAAAAGGTGAATTCACTAAAATCAACAAGTTCCCCCCCAAATGCTAAAAATACATGCAGCAAGATATATGCACGACCTAATTTATTTATTGGTGATCAATAAAATGTAATCTTTTGTTAAAATTAACCAACTACATTCAAGATTATTAAATGTCATAATATAAGCACTGACAGCCAGACAAGAACATGAATATTATAGGCTTTAGCATTTGCATATATAGTATTATACTGTAGTTCACTACTGCTTGTATAAAGTGTTCCATGAAAGCAAATCAGTGTGATGTATTTTGTTATTATCTGGTGCAATTGCTGGGCTGCTTTTGTTTGGGGGGATTGAGGGGGAAAAAAAAAAATCAAACAAATAAAGCACCTCCCATGCCTGCTTATTTAAAAGATACCCTCTAAGCAGGGGATAATAAGGGGAATGGCTTACTTGCCTTAGTATTTTTCTTCAACAAGTTAAGCTGACTTGTAGTCTGAGGGTATACTTTGTGTTTTTTAACTCTTTAGCTAAGCGTTCCTTTTTTTTTTTTACTATTTATTATGTACCACACTCCAAGATCATGTTTACATGAGGTTTTAAAACACAAGTGTCCTGTAGTAACTGACAGATTTAAGTAGCAAGCTATCATCACCCAAAAGCTATGCATTTTTTTTAATGACCACAGATTTTCTCACAGGGCTTTTTACCATCTAACTGATCAGATAAAGCCATTATTATAATCTATTATGAGCCTTTAAAGCTTCTTACAAATATTATATTCTACAGGTACAGGATCCAGGGTGTACATATACACATGCTACAGATAAGAAAGGAATATGATACTAAGATCAAATACAAATCACCACCAGAGATTTCTGTGAACTAGAAATTACTTTGGGTGCCAGGTGCCAGTACCATTTTGTATAGATACCTGTAATTTCCCTTTCATGCATTCAACTATTAACTGCTGTTTTCAGGCAACAAGGGCTGAAGTAACATTCAAAAAGCAACCAGGTATCACCAATGGATTTACACTTCCAGTGACAACTACTATGTGGTTTTAAAACTGTGAAATTAAAATAGAAGTGGTACATGGACTAGCATGTCTCTAACACAGACAACAGTAGCTGGAAGTATTTTAATTACATCCACTTGTCTTGGAGAATATTACAGCAGATAATAATTGTCACATGCCACTTAAAAATGCTACCACAGAAGCCCTTCTATAACCTAGGAATTTATTGTAGCTGACAATTTAAATGAATTCAAGTATGGTCTAGAACTCTGGAGAAGTACTGTTTTCAAACAAGTCTGTTTCCACATTGAATTGCAAAGCAGTAAGCTACTTCCTATTATTTTAGTGGCTACATATGCGATAATTTTATTAGTTATCTGACAACTACAAGATTCCCAAGTAGAAAAATGCTGAAACTGGACTTAAGTCTACCCTAAGACATACAGCTTACTTCCATCTTACCTTTGAACAGTGCTTAAAAGCCAGTGTTTTTTTATCTCCTTGCTTACGTGCTTCCATCAGTAAACTAGCAGATAGAAAATAACCACTAGAGATCCAGGTTCTGACAAATTCATAGCTCATTGCTACTGAACAATAAAGATATGCTTAATTAAAGGTAATTCTTACATTCTCTGCATGTTAAGAAATCAGTTTCCTTAGACAGGCATTTAAAACCAAGAGAAGTTATATCTGGTTTAAAAGACTGAATGACTAACATGTTAATTTTTTGTACTGTAATTTGTATATTTACCTGTTAGATACTTCTAGATTTTGTTGGGTTTTTTTAATCCTTAATAAACACAGCTTTCTCCTTTCCCCCACTCCCTTTTTCTGCCAATAAGGACAAGCACTATCAGGCTGTCCTGAAATTAGTATTAGTACACACCTGTAACTTTGTGTATTTGGCATATGCTGTATGAGACCAGATTGACACAGAAACAAATTTTTAAAAAAAGTACTATAAATACACTGCATACAAATAAGACATGTAAGCCAATGCAGAACAATGCGGAAATTACATTATTAAAAGTTTTTATTTAGGTTTGGTCAGTACAGGTAAGATAATATCGGAGTCACAGAGCAATATGCATCAACAGGATACAACAGTTCTTAAAAACTGAGTAACTATGCACACAATTAATAAACATTCGGTCACCTAAGGAGAAAATGCACAGATGTATGGTGGGAAAAACTGTAATTAACACTGAAACTACTACAGGACTCCTTCAGTAAGTCCTTCTTTTTAGTGATAAAACTACTGTACTGGGCAAACTTGGCAGTCATAAACCCACAGCTATTATGACAAATCTTGAAGGTGGTGTAAGTATAACAGTATGAGTAAGAATGCCCTTACACAGCACAGGTTCTAGATATACACAGATTTGTACAGACATCATTTATGTTATACTTTATGGAAATAATTTCCATTTCAACTTCACATTAACTCATATAAAAATAACTTGAGCTACACAAACGTCCTTTTAGCAACATTCAACGTAATTAACTGTTAAAATTTCCAAAGTGGCAGAGGTATTGAAGCAAAAAGAAACCCACGAAAAGGCAAAATTGTGACAAGTATGCACTAATTTAAACGGCTTCTGGACAGTATCCTCTCCCAGTTTCATGACACTGTATAAAAATTTTGCAGAAAAATGTTACAAAACTGAACCCTGCACATTTACACTGGAGTCCAAACCATTCTGGACATGACGAGAACCCACAGTTCTGTTACCTTTCATGCTCACTGTTTTCTCCTCTTGAGGATCATGATTGGAGTCTGTGTCATTTGAGTGGTGAGTGAGAGAGTTTTCACTGCCAGTGGGAGAGTCTACACTTTCATACCCAGTACTGAGCTGGTTTATGTAGCTACCACTTCCTCTACCAGTTCTATCTTCAGAGTGGTTGGACAGCTTATTACCATTCCCTGGAGAAGCTGTGAAGTCATCTTCTGTGCCGCTACCCTCCCTATAAAATCCAGGCCCAGACGTCCGCTGATGGGAGGAGCTACCATTGCTTGGTCCGTTTGCCAGGCGGCTGCAGTCTTTACCCACAGCCTCTCCCTGGTCTGTAGGCTCAGAAGATGGAGTCCTGCTGGTACCTGGGTTGGAGACCTGGGACTGCTGCTGCTGATACTGTGACAACTGCTGGCGAGTCTCCTTCAACTGCTGCTGAAGAACTAGAATGGTACTCTGCATACCCTCTACCTCCTCATCAAGTTGGATGATGAAGTCATTCAATTCTATGTAAAGAAAACACATTTGTTGCAAACACTTAATAGCCCATATATGGACAAGAAATTAAAATCCCATAACTCAACATTTTATGCTGAAATTTTTTCAACAAACTATTTTTCAGCCATCAAGTATGCACTGGTTTTGATACTCTGCCTCTGAAGGAGAAAATGCTTACTTGTCATATCTACTTATTTTTTATACTGCTATTCCAAATACGTAAGAAAAAATTAATTTCTGGGTAAGAAGATATATGGAAAAAAAGCTCAATTCCAATAATAAATATTTCACAAATAGATCCTAGTATGTCTACTCTTACTCAAGTATAAAACCTTAGTGGAAATACTGTAAAAGAAGGACCATGAACCATATCCAGATATAACAGATCTGAATAACTGCGTATTATTTGCAAATAATTGCAAAAGCTTATTCAGTAACAAAAAAAAAGTTCCCGTCATATTTAAAGGAAGTTTCAGCTCTTACTCTGTTTAATCCTTTAAATTCTTCAAGACAAGGCACAAAAAGACTTTCTTACCAACTAGGCTGTTAATTAATTCTCCTGGGTGTTTTAATATTTCTGTACCAGAAAACAGTTTTTACAATTAGAACTCCATTCTGGAGCAAAATGAATCTGACCTCAAAACAGTACAAGAAACACTAACTCCCTTAGTCTTCCATTCAACTGCACCATCAATTTGACAGAGCAAATAAAGTGCAAACTGCTTAATATTGTAAAAATTCATAAAATTAAGGTGATCTTGCTGCTATGGAAAACAATCATTTGGAAAACTGTTCTTGCAGGATTATTGTCATCTTGACTCATACGGGAAGAGGCAATAGGGGCTCAAGAACACTTCTCAGTTCTAGAGACTACTTTATTCAAGAGAAGTCTTTAAAGAATGGCTACAGTTGCTTCAATTACATGATAAATTCTGTTAAAGTACACTATCAAAATAGTAGTTACAAAGCAAAAGGGTAACTATTCAAACAAAATGACATTACAGAATCATTTACCTTATTGATTCTAGTTATTTTATAGTACTACTTTGTCAAAAATATGAAAATATGATCAGGGGAAGAAATATCCTTTTACAGGATTTCTCAGACTTACATCTGATGTCAAATCAAGTCTATGCTATCTTACAGATTTCAGATGTAAAACAAGCAAAGATATTCAGGTTTATGTGATGTCTAAATAGGT